GCACCCAGAATGATTCTCAAATCCAGCTTGGATGTACAGGTCTCCGGCAATGCTGGTCGTTAAGAGGACCTTGCGTCGAGAAAGTGCGCACGACGTTTCAGGCATGACATTTACGCTTAGGGTTTTACTGGGCTCCTGTTACTACATCTAAGTTTCCATCGTTGAAGTCTATGGTAGATCATACGGTCTCCTTAAAAATAAGTTCCCTAACAGAAACCCAGTTAGGGGTTTAGGGTTCAAAGTCCAGGCTGCCTCGAGTCCAGTTGCAATCCGGCTTTAACCAGCTTCACCCAATATAGGGGCCTAAATAATTACCTATACTATTTTGGGACATTGCATTTTTGGGACGAGCCTACATTGGCACTTCTGCCCGCCAGGAATACCAGGAAAAATATAGTATTTTTTTTTTTTTTTGGGGGGGGGGGGGGTCCTTATCATAGTTATAGGATAACGGGCCCCAAAACCCTACTCTAATCCCATGCCAACATAGTGTAGAAACCCATATCTCCCTAGTACTACGGCCTCAATTGGGAGTTTCCGAAAATAATTAGGGGTACCTCACTTTGGGGTCCTTAAAAGAAGGATCCCTACAGATCCCTACTATATAGGTAGTGTATTGTCCCTTACTTTTCGGAAGCTCGCAATTCTATTTATGGTTGTACTGTTCGTTTTAGACCACGAAACCGTAATCAAGCGTCACTTTTATTGTTAAGGCTGCCCCATGTATTCTCTCTTTCGCCTATGCTTCCGTAAATTGGCCTCAGCGGTCGTGTTTAGCTTTGGGGTCTACTAGGTATGTGCCCAATCGGAATGACTTTGACTTTCCGCCTGTTGTCGTTGATAGTTCACGATCTCTGTACTCAAGCAGTCCTGAGGACGGTTCAATAGGACATCGCGCACAAAATATTACAGCTTGGACTCTGTCCGTTCTTAGGGCTTCGGACTTCGCCGGAGCTAACGAGAACCCGCAGTAACTTTCATACGGTTCGGCTGAAGGCGTTGCCGCTTTCAGCCTGCTGCCTTACTTTTCGGGTTTCAGGGTTTAGGCTTTCCGTCTAAGGAGACGACAGCCCTTCAAGGCTAAGGATTTCTCTACGGAAGCTTACGCAACCCTTTGCTTGAACCACCAAAATCTGTCTTTTGAGCGTGCGTGCAAGAGTTCCCTAACATCTTGTTTTATACCAGGATCCTACAAAAAATGCTTTCGCAGCTCAAGGTAAGCCTTCGCCTCCAGCCTCAAAATCGAGCGTCTATTCCACAGCGACAAGTGCTAAGCCAACCGACCTTAACCTTCGAGGTATTTTAGGGTTTTGGGGTTTAGGGCTTCGGGTTGATGAGTGCCCTGGAGAGAGAGAGAGAGAGGGCTTCGGGTTGATACCAAACCCTAGTGTTGGTGGTGTCCGTAGAACAGCTCTGCATTAGGAGTTGTATTGATGGCCTGCAATTGCAGACCCAGCATGCAGCAATGGCGGCTTCACATGGCAAAAATGGGCCATGAAGGTGGCTGTCAGGCGGTTGCCACTACATGGACAGCACACCTACATCAGCATGCTTGTGGCACTACTGGCTGGCAACAGCAATACCATACTGACCCGGAATGGCGAGCACAGATGCATCGGTTGGCTACCGCTGACATGCGCAGAGTGGCTTCGCAAGTGTGGTATGCCAAAACACGCAAGGCTGTACCATGTTGGACGATTCCAAATGAAATCCGGCGCATGCTGTTGCACCCAAACTACAACATGGCGCAGCCTCGGCCAGGCCTTGGGCACAAGCACTCCCCACTACGAACGCCGCAATTGCAACAGGCGCTGCAGCAGCTTTTCGTGCACATGCGCTGCTCAGAGTCAGCACCTCTGGAATGGCACTGCTCGCAAGGAACTCAGCTGGACAAGCGAAATGGAAAGCCTTTGTGCCAGGGCATCAGAGTTGTTAACGTGTTGGACCCCATGGGCAAGCATTTCTATCGTTCGCTGTGGCGAAGGGGCAAATCGCAAGCTGCAAGGGACTACGCATCTGGGTATGTTAGACACAGAAGTCGAGAGGAAGCCATTTTGCAGCAGTGTTGTTTGGGGCACCGGCTACGCAAAGCAGGTGTTGGACACGCGACGCTCTACAAGGACGTGGCAAATGCATTCTACTCTCCTTTGCATCACCAGCTGGACATGGCCATTGAAAAAACGATGCAGCGGCCGGATCAAGCTTTGCTCAAGCAACGGCACAAGGCAGCTTGCATACACCTGCAAGCTGCCGACGGGCCCATTTTGCTTTCAGTTGGAAGTGGTGCTCTCCAGGGAGATAGCATCGCATCGGACTTGTTCGTCGAGCAGTACCACCCCCTGGTCGATGAGTGGTTACAGAGAGCGGCCCAAGCTCCAACCTATCACCACATGTGCGCGTATGATCCGATCAATCGCAAGTACGTCAACACGGCTCTGTCAGTTTTTGCAGATGACCTTGCAATCAAAGTTCTGTGCCAGGATGCTGAAGAGTTACAAGCGCAGGCATCTTTCCTGGACGATGAGTTGGATGAGGTGCTCGCTAGTGGCGGTATGGCGCAGAACAGAGACAAGCAAGAGATTGTCACACATTTTGCCGGCAGAGGCTCGCACAAACAGATGCGCAAAATCTATTGTGGCGAGACGCTGCTCGAAGGCAAAACTGTACCGCAGGCCAAGTACTTGGGAGAGATTTGTACGCATGGTGGCTCCACTACGGCAACTCGCAAGTACCACCTGGACAAGGCTCAAGCAGCGTGGGCAAGTATGGGTTCGTTCTGGACACGAGCAGGCAGCAACAGAAGATCGGTCAACATGGTCTTTCGAGCGTTGGTCTTCGAGACTGCAGTGGGTGGTTTGGTCCCCTTTGTTCTCACGCAGTCAGACTACAAGGCTCTCGATGCTTTTATCACGGCGAAGGGGCGCATCCTCATGCGAGGCAAAGCATGCAAGCGCGAAGAACAACCTGACGGCACCATCAAGTATGAGGCAGTTCCGAATCAACAGGTCTGGAGATACCTTGGGCTTGCAGGGGTGCGCACCGAGCTACGGATCAAACGCCTCCAGTTCTGGCAACGTCTTCTGCGACAACCTGAACTTCACTCCAATGTCTTCGCCGTCATGTTCGGGTCCTTCTCTTTCGAGGCGAACCCTATGTTGCAAGACGACGGTTCTCTTTCAAATGCAGCGCATCCGTGGCTCACGCAGCTGGTTGATGACATCGAGGCTCTTCGGGACATCGCAGACCTTGAACACATCCCCCATGCAGTGGACAAGAAGCCGTTGCATCTGTTCAGCCCCGACATCAAGCTCGAATTTCTTAAGGTCGATGTGTCCATGTTGCGACGCAAGTTCCTGTGCGTGGAAATACCTCCACCGGGTTACCAGCATCAGTACCCTCTCGAACTCGAGATGGCCCCGGACGAACTGTTGGCAATTCCAGATGACATGCAGCACGTATGCGAACACATCCTTGCTGATGGTTCACAGTGTGGTCGGACTTTCAAGTCGAGTAAAGCTTTGGCCATCCACTGTGCCAAGCAGCATGAGCATCCGCCTATGGAGGTGTTGCTTGTGGTCACAAACCAGTGCTTATTCTGCAAGGAAGTTTTCGCTAATGTTTTCTCGACGAGAAGGCACGTTGTCAATTCCCTTCGAAAGCAGCATTGCAGTGGTCGGTCTAGTGTTGTCAACAGGAAACCCGACATTCCTGACAATCTTGTTTGCAGCATGTGCGATGCGCAGTTTGAGACTCTTGCAGCCTTGCATGATCACTTGGAGCAGCATTTGGGCGCACAGCTACAGTAAGAACATAGTCCAGAGTTCCTCAGCCATCATGCAGCAGTGGGCGGCGAATGCGGGAACCCCTAACGGGCCAGCGCTGAAGCGCAGGCAAGTTGGAGGTGACAAAGATGAGCTTGTCGTCAAGGCTGTTCAGCTCCTCATGAAGTCCAACTTGAAGTTGTCCGCGGATGTGCGGGCATTGCAGTCGGCAACTTTCCGGACGTGCCTCATCCCGTCCACAGCCTCTTTCGTGCTCAAGGCTAAGGAAGCCAGCCAGAAGTACAACGACATCGTTCAAGCTGCAGGGAAGAACCACGACTTCGGCCCTCCGCATGTCCATGTATGGGCAGCGCTGACGGTTGAAGCAGCCGCTCATCTTACGGGTGAACTGCTGCAGCGTGTCGAAGCACATGCTGCTGAGATCGACTCTCCCAGCAAGCTGTTGTCGGATGTGCTTTACTGTCGAGTGGCTCCCGCCTACGGTGGTAAGCATGTGAAGATCTACCTGACCACTACTGACAAGCTCAAATCAGTAGCTGACGCCTTTTTCCTAGCGTTTAAAACGCAAGGAGGGGAAGAAAAATTCGGCTTAGCTCCCAAAGGCGGTCTTGAGCGAGAGCTCCAGGCCCTGTTGGAGGAAATCCAAAGCAAGTAAGTAAGCCGAATCCGTAGCTAATGCCACGATCGTGGGTGAAGGTGCCCGCATCCGGCAATTAGCGAGGGGGTACTCGCAGGTCCGTGGGCGGTGCCTTGGGGGTGGTTGTTTGTTCGTTTTGTGTTCTGGTTTTGCACCTCGGCGACCCCCATGTGATCTGCACTGGGTCAGTGCCTCCACTCCGACCGGGGAGGACGGCAGGCGACTGACTTATCAGGTTCCCTGAGCAGAGTGCTCAGCTAGGCAGACTTCGTCCGCCACTCAGCTGCGAGAGAGAGAGAGATGGCCTGCAAAAATATGTCATGCTCGCCCGAGGAAGACTCCCTGAAATTTAGACCCTACACCCCTAAACCCTGAATAGTTGTGGAAGATTCGCAGAAGCTGAGATGTTCAATCCTCTAACTAAGGCCGTCTTTTGAAGCCTACAAAGCATCCCAGATTTTTTCAAAAGCCTAATATGGGGGCCCGAAAAATTAACAGTACTGTTTTGGGGGTTCCTCATTGTAATTATGGTACAATGGGCCCCCAAACCTCATTCTAACTATAGTACGCCCGGGCATCAGGAACACACCTGTTGGTTCTGCATCCGCGCCATAGGCCGATCCGGGTAAGGGCTTTTGGATTCAGAGGGAGGGGTTTAGGGTTCAAAATTAAGGATTTAGGGGTCAAGGGTTTAAGGTTTTGGCAAAAAGAAATTTCAGGCTTTTTGCTTTTTCAGCAACGAAGCATCGACAGCAAACGCAACCTGCCCGATATGTCCCTCAGAGGTCCTGAGTTTAGTTTGGTCCAGGACTTCGGGTTTCGAGTGTATGGACAGGGTCGCGGCAAAACGGGGGTGCGATGCAAGTGGATGTAGGATTCAGGGCTTGGAAGGTTAGTTTTGTTCGTTCAGGGGACCCTTCTTTGCGGGTTGGAACCAAGTACCCCAGTGTCAAATCCTCTCAAATCCCCAGCAATGGCAGACACAATGACTGGGATAGAGAGAGTCCGCGCCCCTACTCGCCAGGGACACACATGATGCGAGCTTTCCGATTGGCTCAATGGTGAAGCGTAATGCATAGACCCGGAATGCAAAGCAAAAGTCAACAGACATTTGCAAAGACAAAAATGAGCATGCCTCAAGCAAAGAGCAGCATAGAGACGCGTGAACGTTTATTGGCGTGGACGAGAAAATGTGTTCATTGTACATGCGTACGCATGAATCGTTTGCATGTGTCGTACTGCCTTCTTGATGAATCAGGGTTCTGCCTCGTGATAGGCCAGCTATCATCGGACTAAGGATTATCGAAGAAGTATACTTAATTTAGCCATGGCCATGTCTGGATTTAGGGTTTCAGAGATGTCGGGCATCGGCGGTTTAATTTGTACCGTAACCCTCACAGAACCCCTTGTGAGTGAAATTTCATAATCGTAGAACCTTGTACGAACCCTCATAACTCTGTGGGATTCAATATGCACGGCACAGCTAGAACCTAAAAGCCATGGCGCCCTGACAGGTAGCAATTCGACTGGCGAAGAGGGGCTGTTGAATGAGCTGACTCTGTGTCGGCACTGGTTTGGTTTTGGTTTGGGCTTAGGGTCCTAGTATTAAGATATGTGGCTCAGAACTGCTTAGAGTTTGGAGCTGTGTAAGAACAAATACCCTTTCGGCAACTCTTTTGAGGCATGTACTCTGCCCATAGACCAGAAAGGTTAAACCTTGAAGTCCCGCGCGGCCTGGTTAAGTAGGGCTACGATTGATAAGGCAACTACTTACAAACTTACAACCTTAGGATGACGGCTGCCAAGGTCATGCTCACAAGAACTCTGGTGCACCTAGAGCCATAGCCCAAACCCTAGCCCTCAGCATTGCCATGGGCATTGCTGTTGCATTTCAGAGTTGGTTTGGAGCTGAGCTTGTCTGCGGGGGGTGTGCACGGTGTTGCTTTGACGAGTGGGTCTTTGGCACGGCTGTAGAAGCTACCATCAATACCAGGAGAGCTTTTCGGATAATGATGCCAGACCGTTATTGCAATTCTGATGGCGATGGCGTGAAGGAGGTGCGGGAACTCTCACAGGCTCCCATGATACCAAGACTTAGCAAGACCGGCAAAGCTGTTTTTCCAAAAGGGATCTCAAAAGCCGGATAGTCGAGTCCGGGTCGAGTGCCCGACACGCAGCATGATGAGCTAGTACATAGTCGAATTCCCGATAAGTCACAGTGCCGATACAGCCATATAGTGCAAGATACCATCCAAAACTCCAGTCGAAGCAGCAAAAGCACCGCATGCGACCTAAGCTTGTCTGAAGACCCCGATGTTTTTTTCGTGGGGCCAGTTGTGAGGCAGCTCTGGTTGGGTTGATATCGGACAAAGTTGGGGCCTTGTTAGGATAGAGATTCCCTTTAAAGGGGTTTAGTTTAGAAAGCTTCTGGAGTCTCTAGTAGCAGTCCTTTTTGATAGATAGGGTCTCAATATAGAGACCCTGCCTTAACGAATAGAATATCTCAAACCTTTGCCGGACTAGCCCCGACGGCCTGGGATGGATAGGCCTCAGAAACTCCAGGAAGTTGGCGCTGCGGACCTCATCGGCAGATGCGATGCAGTCGATCCGGGAGACGACTTCGGCGCCTAGCCGGGATACTTACCTTTGGTTAGTATGGAATGGAGGAATGGGGTACAATTATAACTGCTATTACTACCATTCTTCCATTCCCGACTAACCAAGGGTAAGGACAGGGGGGGATTCTAGTCGTGCTAGGTTTTCGAACGTCGATCTCCCAGCCGTCAGCTTCGTGCTAGTGTTTGCCAGAGTTCCGAAGCCCTGAAAGACTTTCTGGGGGTTTCCGAAAATTGGGGGGGTGGAATTTAGTATAACATCGTGAATAGTAGGATCCTTACTATGAGACCCCACCATAAGGTACCCCTGATTTTCGCAAACTCCCATATCCCTTGACCTTCAACCCTGCAGTCTGAAAGACCGCACCTAGGCCTGTCGGCTCCTGGACGAAGCAAAAGTTCAAGGTCCTTCTTGAGTTGTCCCGAAACCTTAAACCCTAGACTTAACCCTGAACCTTCACAAGCTTTAGCTGTGTCCGAGTTGCCAGAGCGTAACAAGCTTTAACACCTTTTAGCTATGAGGCCACTCTCACCGGCCAACGACTGGCAGATGTCGCTTCAGCTGCCGGGCGTGGCCGAAATGCCTTAGAGGCACCGATCTGGACATTTCAGGGTGCAGGGAAAGTGGCAGACTGCAAGCCCTAAGCTCAAGCCCTACACCACCTGAAGCCTTGAACGAAAAACTCTGAACTTACGCCCGATTCCCAAACTCTGGACATAAAGCCTGAATTGACGGCCATGCTGAGACACCAGCATTTGGACTTTTTTGGGCCCGGCAAAGGATAAGACAGAGCAGCGCGACTGCACTGACTAAGGTGACTTGAGGGCTTGGCTTAGGGTTTTTGAGCCAGAATCCCATGTAAGACTGAAAATGGTCGCAGAGGCATCTATTCAGCTGTCGTAGAAGTGCTGGAGGCTTCTAGGTCAACTGGCGATCGCGAAGACGCACCATGCTTTCATGATTGAAGCCGCTTCATGTCATGTTTCAGGCAATGGGGTTTGTGGTCCAAAAATTTCCGAGTTCACGTCGCTGATAGATCTCTGTGGCATCTAAATTGAGAAGCTTCCAGCGTCAACTGCTTGAACACCCCGTCTTCCGCGAGTTTTGGATTCAAATCTCGAGGGAGGGTTCGACCAAAAGCACTTCATATCGGACTTTGAACCCGTAGAGGCGGTGCATGTGAAAGCTCCCTGCAATTGAATCACGACGGAGATGATGGCACCGCATTGCGTGTGTAGATGTGAAGACTGCGCGATGAAGAAGAGTGCAGTAGCACGGGGACGTATTCACGTGTTTTCACGTCATCGGTATGTGCGCAACCAAGAAAATGAAGCACGTGCATGTGTACACCTACATGTAGTTACGGTGCCTCACAGACGACTGGCAATCGTTGACCGTGTATGGCATCAGAAAAACCACGCGATCAGCATATAGAATACGATGTAAGATACTCCAAAACCCCGTTCAAGTTTTTAAGATCTCTAGATGAAGACACTATCAAAACCGGAAAACTACGACTCCTCTTAAGGCACCCTACTCTAATTCCCCTTTTCTTAGAGGTCTTCAAGCAGGCCACCGCGGGAAGCTTCGCGGCCTACTCAGCAGGGTTCAGGGTTGGGTTTTTTGAACATATATCCTATCGTGATGATGATTATCATTATTATTATTATATATATATATATGTATATATCTCTATATATATATATATATATATATACCTCTTTTTTTCTGCGATGTATGTTATACTATGGGGTTTAGGGGTTCGGGGTTGGACGTTCAGGTTGTAGTGTCTTGTGTTGATCGGTTAATGGGCTTAAGGATTTCAGGTGAAAATCCTAAGCATTGAGATCCCTGAGCACAGTACTAGGGTTTAAGGCTGAAGGGATGCAAGAACATGTAGAATTATAAAGGTAAATACAAGTACCGATGTACATTAGAAGATCTATATATATATATATATATGTGTGTGTGTGTGTATAAACATATAGTCATGTATATGTGTGTAAGCACTTGCATGTAGATATAAAGGTGCATGTATACATATACATATGTTAGGACAAAAGGATAAGTGCACAAGCATGTATAGGTCTTCAGGCCTCTCTTTCATCACGCCCATCTCCGGCTGGAGGTCGAGATGTTTCTGGGACAGCGCTACACCCTCCAGACCGTCGAGGATGCAGCCGGCAAACTGTCGTAGCAGTCGCAGTAGCAGTAGTATCATGTTAGCGGTAGTGGTGGTAGTAGTAGTAGTAGTAGTAGTAGTCGTAGTAGTAGTAGTAGTAGTAGTAGTGGTGGTAGTAGTAGTAGCAGTAGTGGTGGTAGTAGTAGTAGTAGTAGCAGTAGAAACTGTTGTTGTTGTTGGTACAGACAAAAACAGCAGCCCGTACTTGTTGTTAATTAGAAGCAGTTGGGAATGCTTCCGGCGACAGCATAGGGTGCCTGTAGAGTTTTGGGAAGTTCAAGCCATGCCTGCCTCATGATAGAAATGCGGTGTAGGCTGGGTGGTTGTTGTAACAGGGGGGGGGGTTAAGACAACAGACGGGGCTCCATTTTTTGCCTCTACTACAGGGGGTACAGACAAAGGCACTAGCGAAATCAGGACTTTGTCTCTACCCCCTGTAGTAGAGGCAAAAACTGGAGCCCCGTTTGTTGTTTTGACCACCCCCCCCTTTACAACAACCGCCCACATTACACCACATTTCTACCACAGGTATAAGAATCTGCGATATCCAGAAGGGGTTCTGATGGGTGTTGGAAGGGCTTGTCTGGAATTTTGAGGGGTTTGCATTGGATACCCGTACACTCAAAACTATAGTTACCAGTTACTATACAGTAGTTTGTACAGGCCTCGCAAATGCATATTCTGCACAGCAGAGAACTGAAATACACACCAAATCCATTGAAAATACACACCAAAATCATTGAACTACACACCAAATGCACTGAAATACACACCAAATCCATTGAAATACACACCAAATCCACCGAAATACACATTAAATCCACTGAAACACACGCGAAATCCACTGAAATACACACGAAATCCATTGAAATACACACGAAATCCATTGAAATACACACGAAATCGACTGAAATACAAACGAAATCCACTGAACTACACACGAAATCCACTGAAATACACACGAAATCCACTGAAATACACACGAAATCCACTGAAATACACACGAAATCCATTGAAATACACACGAAATCCACTGAAATACAGACGAAATCCACTGAAAATACACACCAAACAGTATACATCACAGGCATCCACAGGCGATGTGTTGTTGTTGTTGTTGTTGGGGGGGGGGGGGGGGTAAAACAACATGAGGGGGCTCCTGTTTTTGTCTCTACCTAATGTACAGACAAAAAGCACAGATATGGGTTGACGGGGCTGCAGTTTTTGTTTGTACCTTGTTGTTGTTGTTGTTGCTGCTTGTGGTTGTTGGTGGTGGTGGAGGCGGAGGTGGTGGTGGTGTCGTTGGCGTTGGTGTTGTTGGTGTTGTTGGTGTTGTTGGTGTTGTTGGTGTTGTTGTTGGTGGTGGTGGTGGTGCTGGTGCTGGTCTTGCTGGTCTTGCTGGTCTTGCTGGTCTTGCTGGTCTTGCTAGTGCTGTTGGTGCTGTTGTGTGTTGTTGGTGTTCGTGTTGGCGTTGTTGGTGTTCGTGTTCGTGGTGGTGATGGCGGTGGTGTCGTTGTTGGTGGTGGTGTTGTTGTTGGGTGTGGTGGCGTTGTTGGCGGTGGTTTTGTCGATGGTGCTGTTGTTGTGCTGGTTGCTGGTGTAGGTGTACAGTGGTGTAAGATGGTGTAGGTGTCGTAACTGTTATTGCGGTAGTAGAAATTAACTGTAGATGTAGCTGTAGATGTTGTTTTTGCAGATGTTGTTGTTGTGGTGTACCCTGGCAGGATAGCAGTATGGCAGTATAGTCGCATAGTTGGCAGTGTAGCTATCGACATAGCATGGCCATAATGTAGCGGTACAGTCGTGTAGTATTTGAGCAAGCCTCCGGATATCAGTTGCACGTGTACCTCCGTTTAAGGTGTAGGGTCGAGGATGGGCTTGGGGCTTAAACTGTTTGATGTCCTTGATGCTTGTGAATCCGATGATCCCGGCGATGGTGATGAGGAGGATGATGTTGATTGGTCTGGTGAGTGTTGATCAGGATGATGATGACGATGATGGTGATGATGATGATGCTGAAGACGATGCTGATGATGATGATGACGATGATGACTGTGGGATAGCTGGTGCCGCAATCGCGACGACACGACCATAAAAGACGGTCAAGTGCCAGTGAGGCCTGAGACCCCCAACCTCAAGCTAAATGCGGGGCCCTTCCCTACACCTACTTGAGTCGTAAAGACTCAACCTTAAGCCGTTTGAGGACGCCCGGCACACTGCCTTCCTTGCTTTGTCCGGCTTCACCGCAGTTCTCGTCCTTCTTGCCAGGGGCCCATGAAACGAAACCCAGGACTCCGAATTTGATGTTTAGGCTGCAAGGGCTCATTAGGGGTCTCAGGTTTTCAGTGTTGGAATTTTATCGTTTGCAGGGTGTAGTATTCAGGGAGTTGGTGAAGTGTTGCATTGAAAGCCGTGTGTTGTGGATGAGATGGCATTTCAATACGCAGAAGCTCTGGATTCCGCGTAACACATGGTTCGATGGCGAAGAATTATGTCAAGATCCGTTTTAGCCCTGAACTATTACGACTGCCAAAGCTTATTCTAACTACCAAGACCCCTGTATTATGTCTCCAGAACCTCGTCATTCCTCCTTTTTTTCTTCGGTTGCTTCGACGTGCGGTCAAAGTTTTTTCTTCAGGTTTAGGGCTTGTTGAGGTTTTGAAACAGTATGAACCATATGTAAGAAGCATGTGGAGTTGAAGGTTATTCAATTCAGAGGAAGGTGCGAATTTCAGGTCTCGATTCTCAACACCCGAGCCCTGAGCTACTGGCATGTTTGTGCATTTACAACGTTATTCAGGAGGTTGTTGCTGTTTCGTGTGGTGTGTGCACCCAGCGGCTTTTACCAGGGCTTCCATGCTTGCTTCAACGCAACATATTGCCAAGTGCAAAGACGCAGACATGTAGGCAGCAAGCTCTGCGGAAACACGCAAGGTACTTGTAACATAACTTTAGGGAAGCCCAGCATTTTTCACACGGGCCTTTCACAGAGTGGCGCCAAACTGAGCCAGGTTCTAAATGCAACATTCAGTCACAGCCCAGAAGCCCAGTCTTCAAGCCCCGGCAGCCGAGCGCCCTTACCGTCGTTGGTTAGTAGGGAATGGAGGAATGGGATACCATTATGATTACTATTACTACCATATTACTACCAAATTATTTCCATATTACTATCATATTACTACCATTATAATTTCTATTACTACCATTCTTCCATTCCCTACTAACCAGCGGTAAGCCAACAGGTGAACCCCGGGACGATCGTCTACGCCCGGAGGTCCAAGGCGACCTACCCGAGTGCATCGCCCTCCTGTGCCTCATGGCTCCTCGGTGCGAGGGTACCCGTCGGTGTACGGTTTAGGGAGTTGGGTTTAGGGTTTTAGGGCTTTAGGGTTTTAGGGTAGAGAGGGCTTCGGGAGTTGGGGAGTGATCTGCATTTCAAGAGTTTCACGATTTCTAGGAATTTCTAGTTTAAGGTTTCAGCCCGGACTTTACCTGGTGAAGTGACTCAAAGTGCCGGAGCTCTGAATGCTTTAGCACTCTACCGCAAGCGTGACCCTTACCTCACAAAGAATTTGGGGAGTTTCCGAAATTAGGGGTACCTTGTTTTGGGTCCTTATAGTAAGGATCCTACTTTTTAGGGTACGATATTGGGGTCCCCTCTTTTCGGAAACTTTCATTTTAGACTTTGCAAAGCCCGCGAGCCAAGGAATCCCAGAGCTTTCTTTCCCAAATCTAAACTTCTAAACTCCACAAGCCCTGAACGAGCACCGGCACCCAATCTCAGCCCCGAAAAGCTTCAAAAACTCCCCGACCCTGAATCCCAGATCCACAGCCTGAAGCCCAAAACCTCAAGTTTTCGTCAGTCCCCAAACCCTACGTCCAGCCCTAGAGACAGACCCCCAACACTTTTCAAATGTGGAGGCAGCAAAGAGCCAAGAAAGCCTCAAGTCGAAAGAGGCAAAGAAAGCCTCAAATCGGAGCAGCCAAATTCGTCTCCCAAAGATCCTGACCCATGAGGTTTTGCAGCTTTTGTGCCCTGTCTTTCGGGCTCCTCTTTGCCGGAGGGCTGCTTGTAGTGGCACGCGGCCGAGTCTTCTGCAGTTTCGGAGCAAGTTCAGGTACAGTACTGAAGGGTTTAGGAAAGTTTAGGACGTTTTTGTTGGAGGGGCGGGCTGGCCCAGGAAGATGTAAGGTTGAGGGATTGAGGTTCAAAGATCTAGGGAGAAAAGTTTAGGGACCCTCCTGGTTTGACGGCTTCGTGATTAGAGGGCGTGCCATTCAACTCCAGGCCCGCAACAGCTGAAGAATTAGCAACTAGTATCACGATTCCTTACCTGGACCCCAAAAGTATGTAGAATAATAGCCTTTTGAAGGTATTGGGCCATTTTTTTACCTACTGGGGGCGTGTTAGGTAGGGCTCCTCAGTACAGTCCAACCCCAACCCCCTCGTCAGGCCCATGCACGTTAAACCCGGAACCCAAAAGGGAGTTTCCGAAAATTAGGGGGTAGCTTATTTTGGGGTCCTTATAATAAAAATCCTACTATTTAGGGTACTATATTTTTTGGTCCCTATTTTCGGAAACTGGCAAAAGGCCTGAGCAATGAAACACGGTTTAGAGTTGTTTAGCGTTTCGGGCCAAGTTGTTAAGCAACAAAATCAATAAAAGTGTGCCCCAGAGCTCCGGAAGTAGCCGAAGTCCAAAGCAAGTACTCAGCGCTTTTTTAGGACGTACGATTACGAGTTCAGGGCCAACCAGAACTGAACCTCCGTGTGCTCAGAGACTCAGGCGATAAATCACGCAAAGCTTGATGGGAAGAAACGGCGAGCCAACGCCTGATATGTGGGCCTTCAGAATTTGAACAGGGTTGCGGTGAAAGACTCGAGCTTTCTGGGAAATAATTTCCCTTCACACGACCTGTCAGCTCTTCAGGAGACCTGAAGCTATACATCCTGAAGACCCAGAAAGGCGCTGGAACAAGTAGAAGTACTCGACCTCAATTTCCAAAGTTATAGAACTATGGGGTTATAATAGTACATGTAGTTCTTTCATAAAAACAATTACGGTACAGGACTATAATAGGAACTCTCAACACCCGACTCTTCTTATTCGAGCGCCTACGTTACTTCCCGAATCAGGCCGTTCCCATGTCGGAGTTGTGCCATTTCTGGCGGTACGACTTGCTGACCCATGGGGGCATCGCTGACTACTATCAGCCGGGAGCCCCTGTGTGTGGGTTCTGGAGTTAGTTCAGGGTTTAGGCTTCCTGGCCCGGGCTGCTGGACAACGAGGCCTGCTGCAAAAAGGCTTCCTGGCCCATAGTAAAGCTCAGGTGGTTTGGGTTTTTGGATCAATGAGACCTCTCGGTTGTTTCGGGCGGGATTCAGACCAGGCCCTAAACCGTAAACCCTGAACCCCGAACCCTAAACCCTAAACCCTAGGCAGGAGAACGTAGGCTTCAGAGATGGGGATTTCTCGCAGAAGTTCAGCTCTCTCTGGTTGCGGGGCTCCCGCACAAGCCCTCTTTGAAGGACTCGCTCAAGTATGCCCGGCAACATTTTCACAATGAAGCCGAACGCCCGATTCCCGACTGGGACATTGACTCGCCCTTTCAGACCGCAAGAAGTACAAGTAGTCCTTAGATAGCAATGCCAGCATACACAGGTAATCAACGTATAACCTTCATCTAGATCTACACCTAAACCTAATCTCATTTCAAGTATCATAGAAATAATATGCCAACTAACATGAGTAAGAAGGCGTACCCTGTGAATTTTTTCTGCC